TTGGGCCATCCACTCACCTCGGCCTCCCAAAGCGCGGGATTCCAGGCTGAGCCACCCAGCCCGGCTGAGATGACTTTTGATTGTTGTGAAGAGTGCTGTTCTCCTTTTCCTTCAGCACTTTAAGGGTGTTGTTCTGTTGTTCGTCTGACCGCCTTACTTTCTGACGAAAAGTCAGTCATGATTCACTTGTTGTTCTTTTGAACATAATGTGTTGCTTTTCTCTGGATGCCGTGAAGATTTTCTCTTTTTCTTTAGATTTCAAAAATTTGACTCCGGCGCACTTAAGCGTGGCATTAATGTTTTCTGAGGTTTGCAAAGCTTCTGTCTTTTAAACGGTATGTCTTTCACCGAATTTTGAAGTTTTCAGCCTTTATTTTCTTGAATTACTTTTACCCCAGTTATGTTTCTTCCCACATTCTGAGACTCCAATGACCTATCCATTATAGACTGATACTGTCCTACAAGCCCCAGAAGGCCTGTTTTTTAAAAACTATTTTTGCCAGTCTGATATTCATGTTGCATATTTTTTATTGATTAACTTACTATCTTGTCATATTCTCTATCAAATCTATTGTTATTTTTTCAAATATTGCATTTTTTTTAGTTTCAAAATTTCTTTGTGTTTTCTGTTTTATAATGATATTTCCCACTTAAAAATTTATTTCAAGTGAATTTTCTTTACCACTTGGAAGATGGTAACATGAGTGTGTTAAAAATAAATAAAATAAAATAGGTATATTTAAGTCCTTGTCCATTCATTTCAGCGTCTAAGTTGTGCCCTATATATATCTGAATATTGTTTGTTTTTTTTTAAAGCATGTGATGTTTCGGTTTTAACAGGAAAATAACTGTTAAATTCAAATTGCAAACTGTCTTTGTCTGTGATGAGCTGGCATTCAGGTCTCAGGATTTTGTTTGTTTATTCAACTATTGCTTTTGTTTTTATTTAGGTTGCTTGGAGTTAGCCCTGTTCATGCTTAAGTCTGGGGTTAACAAATGTAATGGACAGAGTTTGCACATAGAATTTGGGTCTCTTCTTCTCTGGGTCTTCCCTTTTCAGTATTTTTCAGGCCGCATTTGTGTCCTGAAAGATGGTAGAATATTTTTAAATTTTGAGTTGGTCTTTGTCTGTGTCACATTGAAATCACAAAGGACTCAAGTTTTGTTTTTTCCTCCAAAATACGCCTGCATTTATTTCAACCCTTATGTGTTTCAGGCCATTCTTTTTTTCCCCAGAGATTTACTTGCTATTAATGGGATGATTGATTGGTTAGGAGCTCACTGTACTTTTCTAAAGATGGAACAACTCCCTAAAATTTTATTATTTCAGTTAACTCCACTTCTTAAAACTTTTTTCAATGACTTTCCTTTGATTTTCTTTTCTTTTTTTTTTTTTTTTTTAGGAATCAGGATTCATTGAAAGGACAGAAAAGCTCCCACAGTGAGAGGGGACCCAAGGGGGTTGCCACTTTCCTTTGATTTTAAGATAAAGCTCAAATTTCTAAGTAACATATGCCTGTGCAGTATAAGTACATGTGGTAGTTGTCCAATACATATTCATTGAATGTTATTTTTATGAAATATGGTCATATTTAACAACAATGTTATTATTCTTTATAGTAATACCTTATCTTTTATAAATATTGATCATTGACTATCAATCCCTATTTAATTGCCTGACTATTTATGAATTCCCTTAACTGGACATCTCTCAATTAATAAACCAAACAACACATATTTTGAGCACCAACTGTTACAAAGCATTGTTGTAAGGAATTTAATGGGGAAATAAAGAATAAAGAGGTAAGTTGTTTACCTCTATGGAAGCTACGGTCTAAATGGGTAGATAATTTTATGCACTATAATTTTTAAAAGGCAATTAGGCCAGCCACCAATTAATAACTGTGACATAAATACTTTAAAATAAGTTGTATGAGCCGGGTTCGGTGGCTCGGCCTGTAATCCCGCACTTTGGGAAACTGAGGTGAGTGGATTGCCTGAGCCCGCGGGTTCAAGATCCGCCTGGGCAACTTGGCGAGATCTCATCTCTACAATAAATCAAAAAATTAGCCAGGCGTGGTAGTGCGCGCCTGTAGTTCCAGCTACTTGGAAGGCTGATGTGGAAGGATCGCTGGAATCCAGCAGGTCAAGGCTGCGGTGGCTTGGAGTGGCCACTGCACTCCAGTCTGGTTGACAGAGTGAGACTCCAACTCAAAATAAATAAATAAATAAAAATAAATAAAACAAGTTGTGTGTAAAAACTTAGGTAAGAAGAAAAGGAATGGTGGTACTTAAGGTGGGGCTTGAAAAAACAATGGGACAAGTTTAGGCAGAGACACAGAATAGAATATTCCAGGCAGAAAGACAGGTTCTCTGCCTTACTTTTCCCATAAATGTGATTTAATTAAAATCTGATCCATCAACCTACACATTATTCAATGGGGCATGGAAAAGAGTGCATTCTTCATGAACACTATAAACCAACTTGACCTCTAGCCCTTTCAAGAAGTTTTAATCAACCTCTCTTGTATTACTAAAGTTGGATTCCAGCTACTGCACTTCCTTCATCAACTGTCCACGGATGCCAGGAGCCATGCAAATCTCTTCCTTAATTTTTGCTGCCCTCATTCTTCTTGCTCAAGTTTTCCCAGGTAAGAGGGAAACTCTTATAGAAGTAAGGATGGCAACCTGTTCAGGATTTGCCTTTTGAGAAGAAAGTTCAACCTTTTCAAAAGTCCCTGACTCATCCCTGTGTCCTATATGGGTCTCAAGGCAAACTGATCACTGAAAATATTTTCCAGATCTCAGACACAAAACAGTGAGATCTTACTGATCCAGACTGTCTCCAACCAAGAGTATTTGGTTAATTTCCCTAATAGCTCTACCAAGGGGTTCAGAGTTCCTTTTACTTTTAAATCTCTTTCCTCCTTTTGTAAGTAATATTTAACCCAGCTTCGACATAAGCTGAAGTGATTGCTTTAAAATGAGAAAAAAAATCTCAGAGGCAAATGTCAAACATATTTGTTAATTTGGAGAAGTACAGCCTTTGTAATCTAAATTAAGGAGTCATATGAATAGGTTCTAAGCAGCTGTTTTTTCATGTCTGAGTAGTTGGTCCATAGATTTTTGTCAGACTTTCTAGCTCTCACTCACTGATGAAAAATTTCACCATTAAGGTCAGGCACAGTGGCTCACGTTTGTAATCCCAGAACTTTGGTAGGAGAACCTTTTCAGCCTAAGAGTTCGAGACCAGCCTGGGAAACATAGGAAGATTTTCTCTCTAAAAAAAAAAAAAATTGAATTAACCAGGCATAGTGACACATGCTCATAGTCCCAGTTATTTGGGAGGCTGAGGAGAGCAGAGCAGATCCCCTCATTCTAGAAGTTCGAGGCTGCAGTTGAGCTGTGATCATGCCACTGCACTCCAGTCTGGGTGAAAAATGAGACCCTGATTCAAAAAATAAAAATTAATGAAAATTACACTATTGAAACCACTAACATCTTGATGAGTGTGTTCTTAAGTCTTTGAGTCCTCTGATCTTGTCTCTCTTTGCTTGAGATAGCCATGACTATTCCTACGAGACTATCATCTCCATACGTCCCCAATCACATGTCATTTCCTTTGTTATAGAGCCTTTCTTATTAGAGGCTTTCCATGCATCGTGAGCTCCCCGTCTGTTTCTTATGGTTCCTGAATTTCTACACTGCTTTATTACCCATTCCAGCCTCAGTAGTCCTAGCAAGCCAATAGATATTGAATGTGTGCTAACCCCTGAAGAGAAATTGCTCTGACCGCTATAACAAAGTTGGCAAAATGAAGAGGTAAAAGTATAATTAAAGTACCTGCTTGCCCTTAATTTACGTGAAATGTATTAGTCTATTATTTCTGTATTGTTCAAAAATAGACTGCCCATAATGGTAAATAGGCATTCAATACATTTAAAATGTATACGTGAGTAGCTGATGCAGGAAGATGCACAAGTAACTTTAGTATAAAACAGTTTTTATGAGTATCATAAAAGATGCAAGGTAAAAAGAGAAGTCATAGAAGTGGGAGCTTGCTTCTAACTAGGAAATTTAGAAAGGTTTCCTGGGAAGTAGTATTTGCATTGCACTTTTGGAACAGGCAGGACTAGAACGAAAGAACAGAGCCAAGGAACAATGCCCCATGTTTGAAATTTTCACTTGAAAAATCGATTCCTTGGCTTCTGCCCTCAGTACCTTTTCATAGGTGTCAGACCGTACTCCAGGCCAGAGAAGCTCATTTTAAGCTGTCCTCTCTATCTCCTTTCATCAGGAAACAATTAATTCTGATCAATTTATAGGAGTAGATGTTTAAGAGCTCTTTAAAACCCAGCTCTGAAATGTTCGAATCCCAACAATAAGCACAGTTTGATCACAAATTAGGACCATCACTATCCCAATAATCACATAGAATAATAATAATCAGAGTTGGAAGTGAATGTAACAATCAATCCATGAGGTAACAAACAGATTACGAGGCCAAACTATTTAAGGTTGGATCTCAGTTTCAATCTTCATAAGATGTATGAATTCTGTGTTTTACTTTCCTTTCTATAGATGGTAATAATAGCATTATTTCAAAGTTAACCTTAAAAAAATCTCATATATTATTAAAGACGAACTTGTTATAATAAAGAAACTTAAGAACAGAGTGCCTGAAAAAAGATAAAAGGTTATTTCTCGCTCATGTAAAAGTCCAAATATAGGTAAGTTGACTATATTGGAGCAAAAGACTCTTCTTCATTAGGGCTAGGGTAAGATTCAAGCTAAAGGTCAACGCTGTCATCTTAAACATGTGATCATTTTATTTTTTTCCAAGAATGTCCTAACAGGCAGGGCTAAAACATAAGTACAAGACATGATTAAAAGGTTACATAGAGACATCTGACATCATTCCACTAGTATATCATTGGCCAAAATTTATTTATGTAGCCATTAAGAAATAGAAATCTAGGAGCTGACATCATGAGCTAAGTATTCACGTGCCCAGGAAAATCCAAATAAAATAAAATAGAACAGCTAAGCAGGTTCTGTTACTAAAAGTCTAAAGGGAGAAATGTCTGCTTGGGGACAGTCTAACAATTTTTCTTTATGACTGCTTGGACAGTGCCAGCCAGACAAATACTCTGTGCTACGTTAGAGTTAACTATTATGATTGTTCTATCGTCATTTGTTCTTATTTATTATTCTCTGTCCTGATTCAGTGTTTGAACATCTTATATATTTATATATTTTATGTATGTCAATTGGTGTCCAAATGCCTAATAAATTTTAGTGATTTGTGACTGACAACATCTCAAGTTAAACTTTGAACTATTTAAAATTTTCCCCTTAATTTGAGCAGAAATCTAAGTCCCTGAAATTTCTTTCTATTAGTAGTTAAAACTAAAGTCTTAACTTGACACTAACACACAGTATCTCTTCTACATGATGATATAGCAGATATAATACAGCTAAATTTCACCCTTTCTCCCACAAAGTCATTCTTTCCGGGAATAAACATTGCTCCCTTTGGGAGTAACTGTTACTTCTTTAAACTATCTCTTGTAAAATTATCTCATCAATTTTTTAAAAAAAAGATAATACCTCTTTTGAAATATTTGTACTCTCTTTAACTTAGTCTCTGGTCTGAATGAACTCATATTGCCTATGTTTCTCTATGCCAGAGTTAAATGTGTCATTCTATTGGTGTTCTTTGCAGAGCAGAGTGAGAAGGACTGGCATCAGGCCTTAACCTAAAACTGTGAAACCCAAAGACCATATGCCAAGACAAGTGATCTATCATTCGTCTGCCTATAATGCAATAGCAAAGTCTTTAAATTTTGCTACAGATCAGAGACTATTAATTTGGAGACAAGAAAAAGAAAATTGTTAGAAAAGATTGTTTATTGGAATTAGAAAGTATTTTACCACCCTTCCAGGAAGAAACAGTCTGTTTCTATAAGATGTAGCTATGAATTTGGCAGAGGAATTTTTTTTTTTAATTTTCCTGACTATTTAAAAAGAACATTGATTACACTGTATCGGGGTCTGAGCTCAGACACGATTGTTCAGGTAACATCGGCTTTGTTCTGATCTCTAGGTTTATACTATGTGTCTCTAGGACTTTTGGTAATGGGAAAGTCTGAATTTGATCTGGGTGATGTAATTTTGTGTTCCAGTTATTAATTACTAGATGACTGGAGACTAATTTCTCTCTTTACTTAGCCATAGGAGGAATTCATAGACCAATATTGTGTAAGAATATGGACGGTCGCTGTGAAGCTGAATGCCTTTCCTTTGAAGTAAAGATTGGGGGCTGTAGAGCTGAGTTAATACCATTTTGCTGCAAAAAAAGAAATAAAACTTAACCGCTAAGCACCAGCTACAAGAATGAAGGAGACAGAGATACTCTGCCTGTGATTTTAGTGGGACATACCTCTCTGGAGCATTTCTCTTTGACCTCCGAATTATGGATTCTCTGAAGCCATGGCAGTCCAGTTTCTGACATTACAGGAGAATACCCTTCCTAGGCTGGGAGCTTCTTCAGGCCAGGCACTATGTTTTGTTCACCTTTGTACTCCCAGTTTCTGGAACAAGGTCTATTAATGTTTTTATTGACTGATAACATGAGCAAATAAATAGATAAAATAGAATGAAACAATGAATGGAGGTCTAAAGTTACAGCCCTGGATTTAAATAGATGTAAGGCATTGGGCCTTCTTTGCTGGTTGAGCCTCACAGTAAAGGGTATTCCCGCTCAGCACTAATTGTGGCGGCCTCAGCAGCATCACTGTCATGCACTCCTCTATCTCTCCATTATAGGTAGAAAGTGTTTAGAATGTATTCCATTCTCTGTCAGATCTAGAACAACAAGTTTCAGAAAGAAATGGGTTCATAATGAAATTCAAGTTAGCTGTAGGTTGAGTAGCATCTTCATTCTGGCCACTGGCAGAGAAAAATCAATCAAATATCCGCTTATTCAAGCAGCAAGGTCCCTAGAGGGGACCTAGGGAGTCCCCAGAGGAGTCCAAGGCTCAAGAAGATTATATAGTTACTGACTCAGTCACACCTCTATTCAGATTTTTGTGCTCTTAGCATATCCACAAAATAGCACGCTGGATAAGGACAGAACAACAAAAGACCAAACTAAAAGATGGAATATTTCTTAGCAGCTCAGGTGAATTGAAACAAGCTACAAAAAGAAAAGAAAAATTAAAGAAAAATAAGAAGACAAAAAATTGGACAATTTCCAAATTTCCTCTTGTGACCAGGGATTTTCACCTTTTCAAGGTCATAAAAACAGCAAACTGAGGCATGCTTTTGCCCAAATTTACCAAAATGTGGAGTTCCAGCTTTCAGACAGAGGAAAGTACATTTCATAGACCATCTCATCATGGAAGATTTACAGCACATCATCCCAGAACAGAAAAAACAAAATCCCTCTGCTCTGCTCTAGAAAATCGCTTTGCCTATTCAATTAAGCTAGCTTCCTTCAGAGATGTTAAATAAAAATAACAAAAAAAAAATAAAATTTCTGGAAGAAGACAATTCATAACATGCTTTAAAATAATAAATAAAATGTGTTTTCAATAATGTTCTGGTATTGCAGCTTATCTTTATGGCACTATTTTGGTTTTTCATTCAGAAGACCATGCTAGAAAAAAATATGTAAAGTGATCTGTTTCAATCAGAGGAACTTTCTCAGTTTCTGTGCTTTTTCTAGAAATTCCTTATCAACTGTCTCCGATAAAACAAATTGCCTTTGAGAATCTAAATGTTTGCGGGTTTTCTCCATTATCCTTTTAAATTCCTTTTTTATTGCATCTTCTGTCTCCACTGTCTCCATACTGTATTTCCTTCTTCACCTACAGAAATGTCTTTAGCTGTCACCACACCCCTGGAATTTATCTTTATAAAGATACCAGAGACCTTCATAATCACCTCTTAGTCACTGTTCTCCTAATAAAGATACCAGTGCCAACTCCAATGACCTATGAAGAGTGTTCATCTTCCTGGCTCCTTTAAAACATGTCACAAAATGATTCACCTCGTACTTCTTTGTTTCTCTCTTTGTTGCCTGTGAGGACTTCTGCCTTCTGACTAATTCTCTTTCTCTTCTCCAGACATTCTCAGTCTTCTTTGCTGACTCTGCGTGGTTTTCTCTTTGCTGGGACTGCTTCACCTGTGTTTCATCCCTCCTCTTTTTTTATAAAAAACCCGCCCATTCCCATGGGTTCAACTCTAACCAGTGGACAAATGATGCGGCACTGCTACTTTATCAGCTTTCCTGGCTCCAAGCCTCCCTCCTACACTCCCCCCGTGGTGTTGTGCTGAGACTCCGCAAACTGCATCTTCCAGATGCCTTGGCCAGCTGGCTTTCTGTTAGTGCCTTTTTTTTTTTTTTTTTTTTTTTTTTTGAGTTGGAGTCTCCCTCTGTCGCCCAGACCAGAGTGCAGTGGCCGCCCCCGGCCACCGCAGCCTCGACCTGCTGGGCTCCGGCGATCCTTCCGCCTCAGCCTTCCAAGTAGCCAGAATTACAGGAATGCACTACCACGCCCGGCTGATTTTTTTCATTTATTGTAGAGATGAGGTCTCGCTGCCCAGGCGGGTCTCGAACCCCCAGGCTCAGGCAATTCACTCACCTCGGCCTCCCAAAGGCGCGGGATTACAGGCTGAGCCACCGAGCCTGGCCTGTTAGTGCCTTTAAGAAGGGGCATTAGCAGTAGACTGAAAGACAAGAAGAGAAAAGAAGCACCTGTTTCTGTTTCCAGTTCCTGTTATCAACACTTCAGCAGCGGCAGGTGGTTGGCTTAAGGCTCCAGACTCCATCTTCCTTTGGCTCTCTCAGCGGCCTCCCGAGGATGCTTAAAAAGAACCAGCAGCATCCCAGCCCTACCTCGTTGTTCGTAAGAGGACCAGATGAACTATGACCTGCTTTATTGTTCACCCCGGCTATCCAAGCACATGACTGACCATGTCTCCTCCTCAGAAGTCTGAACTCTAGCTGCAGGATACCTCTACCTCCTTCATCTACACAGCAGTCATGGAGCATTCCTTCCTTAAAATCTTAAGCATTATGTAGGCGGTGCACCCAGCTCAGTGGGTCTAAGCACTTTGTCTCACCCTCATAGCTTCAAGTTCTAGCAGCTTACAGGCAACAAACAATTTTGAGCACTAGCCTCCCATCAGCATCTTTCATTTTTGTTCCTCTATGTCTAGAGGTGAACCCTCTCTTGTAGTTATTAATCTCTGCTCCTTTTTAACCTCCCAGGATCGGTGGAGCCGATGCCATGCGTTGAATCTCCTCTGTTTCAAATACGCAGTGTGATTTCTCTTTTTCTGAATGGACCTTATCTGACAAAAAACTCTAAAGGATATTTTCTTGCCAGGCACAATGGCTCAGGCCTATAATCCCAGCACTTGGGAGGCTGAGGCAGGAGGATTGCTTGAGCCCAGGAGTTCGAGAACAGCCTGGGCGACATACCGAGACCTCATCTCGGTTTAGGTAAAATGAAATGAAAACTGTATTTTCAACCGTAACTTCTCCTAAGTTTATTAGGTTACTAGCCTTTTCTGAAAAAAAAATTGCTAACAGGTATTTCAAAAGCAAATTATCTTTATTGTAAGGTAATGTTTTATTTAATATTCTTTAATATTCTAAATATTAGAAAATATTGTCACTACTTGACATTCATGTTTAAAATAGGGTTTTCTCAAGAGTATTTACTTTTCCTCATAAAACACACAATTCCCTTATTGCATAATCTACATAAATTGCTCATTATTCCCTGTACATTTTATTACAATTATTTTCCTTTCCTCTTTCTCCTCATAAATATTGTTCTAGTTCAGTGCCTTGTCACCTTCAACCTCTACAATTGCTCTGTCAAACTTTTTGTCAATAAATTTATTTTACTACCAATTATTTATAATTTGGGGATTGGGCTTGGCATAAATAAAAAAATAGTTTCAGCCAGGCTCGGTGGCTCAGCCTGTAATCCCGCGCCTTTGGGAGGCTGAAGTGAGTGGATTGCCTGAGCCCGCGGGTTCGAGACCCGCCTGGGCAGCGAGACCTCATCTCTACAATAAATCAAAAAATCAGCTGGGCATGGTAGCGCATGCCTGTAGTTCCAGCTCCTTGGAAGGCTGAGGCGGAAGGATTGCCAGAGCCCAGCAGGTCAAGGGTGCGGTGGCCGGGAGCGGCCTCTGCACTCCAGTCTGGGCGACAGAGTGAGACTCCACCTCAAAAAAAAAAAAAAAAAAAATAGTTTCATCTTTCTATGTTGCGTGAACACATACATGTGTGCACACACACACTCCATGTGAATTGTTCGTCCATAAATGCTAAGTAGAAGATTCATACTCAGATGTATAAGAATAGTTAGAACACTCAAACATTAGAACCAGAAGCTCCCTTGGAGGTCATTTAAATCACTATTTTCAGAACTACATTGATTAATTATAATCAATGCAACTGGCCAAGAATAATTCTACAACTTAGAGCTCTATGCTGATTGGGATCTCTTAGGCTAAGAATCTGAATTTTTAAAACAACTTATCCAATGAAGCCTCCTGCACAGTGATGTTTGAGAGCTATTCATTTTTGGTAGTTTATGTTCCCACTGGACATCAAAACTGCCCACCTCCGTTCTCCTGGGTAACTGAACTGAGTAATAGGGACTCTCTGTCCTTTTAGGAAAGTCTTTCTGCTCATATGGGGCATCTCTGTCCCTAGTTATTCACATAGGGGTATAGAAAGTTTCCTATTATCTAAACACAGACATTCTATGGGTCCTGGTGAGCTGCTGACTAAAATGAAGCCATTGTCTATCTGTCTCTACGGATGCCTTCACTTGTAGGACTACTGTCATTCTCATTAGCCACTTAAAAAAATTTTTTTTTCACTCTTGTTTTCTGGAACAAGTTTCTCCAGGTGACAAGACAAATTTGTGAAAACCTTCGTAAGTTTAAAAAACCTGGGAGCTTGAGGGAATCCTACACATTGAGCAAAATCTCCAATATCTATAAGAGGAGAAGGTATCCTGTAAGAATCCAAAAAAGCCAATGATTGAGAGAACTGCAGTCATCTGATCCTTGAGGGAGCTCTTCTGATTGTGAACCACACAATGTCAGGTAAAGACTGACCTTGTTTTGTTTGTTTTGAGTCAGGGTCTCATTCTGTCACCCAGGCTGGAGTGCAGTGGCACAGTCATGGCTCACCGAAGCCTCGACCCCCTGGGCTCAGGCTATCCTTCCGTGTCAGCCTCCCAAGTAACTGAGACTACAGGTGTGTGCCACCAAACCTAGATAATTTTAAAATTTTTTTGTAGTGATGAGGTTTCACTATATTGCCCAGGCTGGTCTCAAA